CACTCGAAATCGATCGCGGAATCTTAGCTGAGAAACCGGACGTCAAGATTTTCCTGCCATTCCGTTTCTTTGTCTATCGCGCCGAGGATCTCTTCCAGCCGAACACCTACAACAGATTCTTGGGTAAGCCAAAGACTAATCAAATCGTTCATCACTTATCTCACTTGTATCGCCTTTCCATAACCCATTTCCAGTGGCTCCAACCGGCGATCATGTGATTTCGCTCATCGACGAGATATCCTATCTCTCGGCACCCGCACCGCTGACCTCGCAATATAATGAAATTAATCCGGAGCAGTTCTGCAATGGCGACAATCGTCCCGCCGACTGTGGACCCAACTGCATGTGCACCCACAAGATCGACATACCACTGAACGCCATTGTCGAGGTTGTGCTTGTGGATGAGGGTTAGCTTCTGGGATTACCCATCGATCAATGGGTGACATTGTTATTCATATCTATTGTCCAATTATCCAATTGCAGTGCAACAGCCGAATTTGTCGCATCCCTTCCATTTGCATGGCTATGGCTTCAGTGTCATTGGCATTGGACGCTCGCCCGACTCCACGGTCAAGAAGATCAACTTGAAGCACGCACTTGATCTGGATAGACGCGGCCTGCTGCACAGGCAGTACAATTTGCCACCCACCAAGGACACCATCGCAGTGCCCAACAATGGTTACGTCGTGCTGCGTTTCAGAGCTGATAATCCCGGTACTAGCAGAGTATATCTCGACTTTTGATGGAGATTAACTTTGACCTTTGTTTGCATTCAGGTTTCTGGCTCTTCCACTGTCACTTCCTGTTCCACATTGTCATCGGTATGAATTTGATACTGCAAGTTGGCACCAATGCCGATCTGCCACCTGTGCCACCTGGCTTCCCAACCTGTGGCGACCACACTCCACCTATACCCATTAATTAAGCCTAGGCCTTAGTTCTGTTGGCGCTAACTAGAGAAATCCGCACAAAAACAAAATCAAAACATAAAAGAAAGAAACTGAAAGCGAAAGCGAAGAAGACCCAACTACACTGAACGAAACAGTTTGTACAAAGTTTTTTCTTTTTTCAAAGAAACAGCACAATGAGTATGTATGTATTTGTTGTAATATAGCCCCGACACCCTGATAACAACGATATATATATGTGTATCACCTGTATCACCTGTATGATATTTACCTGACTTCCGCAACTGCTTGCCGCCGGGTGCACCCCGCCCCCACTAAATAAAGAAACTGAAAATTGCATCAAGCAAACGATTGCCCTTTGACCTTGCCCTATGCCCGAATCACCCACACACACACACCCACACACACACACACTTACACACACACATGTAGTACACACAGATGTACTGCAGCAAGACGGTGCACTGATATTGAATGATGTTTGGAGCAGCCATAAAATATTCACAGAGAACAAAATCAATTTCAACAAAATTTCAAGCCTAACGTAGTGTGTGTATGTATATGTATGTACACATATATGTAACTAAGTTCATGTATGTATATTTAAACTTATGTATATAGGACCAATAGATCACACGCTGGTGCCTACAAATTTATGCAAAGCTTCAATTTTCAACTGAATTCCAAAATTCTGAATTCTCAGTTTAACTTTGACTTTGTGTAGATTGCAAAATACATGTAAAAACAACAACAACAACAACTATAAGTAATAAACTTAAATGTACATAAAATGTTTGTAAAAAATGAGAAAAAATCGAATCTATATATATATATATATTATGCTTAAACAACCTACTTATGTAATGCCTAGGGTCTATTTAATGAAAATATACTCTGATTGGCTTGTCACAGTCATATTTAATAGCTGCAAATTTCTTTCAATCAATCTGCATTTGTAATTGATAACAGTTAAAGTAAATCTTGTACATTGCCCAAACGACTTTATGTATTTGTATAAACTGGAAAATCTAGAGAGATTTTGTTTTTGTAAAGCTTGAAAATGTTACGATACAAGAGATGAACCCAATTAACTGCCGTTAAATTTATATTTATTGTTTAAATCAATTTTAATAAAATACGAAAATTTAAAATAACTTCACAATTTCATTTGACAATGCAAGCAATATAATCTTGTACCCCATAAAAGGCCTTTGTACCCAGTTTAAACTTGAAAATATAAACGATTCCCAGTTCGAGTTGTCTGTCAACTTTGCTCCATAACTGTAGGGTATCTAAATACCTGTGGGTGTTCACCAAGTATCTAATCTTCCATATAGCATGAACCTGATTTAGTTGTATATAAACCCATTTTATATTGATCAGCGCTGGGTACAGGGCATCTGCTAGTCGTTACGTTTCGACTAGAGCACTTTTAGCATTTAAGATCTTTTCTTTCTTATATGATATTTCATATATGTATAAACCAAATAAAAAACATTTCTTTCAGATAGCAAAACCTTCTCCGAAGCACAGCCATGCAGCATGCACCGCATGAAAAGCCTCATAAAAATATTGATCTAATTAGATTTGCTTGTAAATTGAATTTATTCACAGATCTTAAACCCGCTGGATGCGATTTGCGATCGCAAGCGCGCCGATGCGATTTGTGTTTCGAACCTCAAGAATGCCAAAAAAGTTGATAAGAGCGTTTTGGTCGAGCGGCCCGACGTCAAAATCTTTTTGCCTTTCAGATTTTATGTGTACGATCCGAAAACGCTATTCATACCAAATACGTACAATCGATTTTTGGGTACGTACTCATTGGCCCGATCGGGCCTTACGCGTGTCTCCATTAACTCCCGCCCATTCGGCTTTGCTTTCAACTAACACTGACATAAATACCTTTTCATATATGTTTACGCTCATGTACTAAACCTAACAACAACCCGATCGCTATCAACACACACATGTTTAGTTGTGCCTAGCGGTGACCATCTAACCTCTCTGGTCGACGAAATATCGTACATATCGCCACCGTCGCCGCCTCTGTCCCAAATCGATGATATACCGCCCGAATACTTCTGCAACGGCGACAACCGTCCGCCCAACTGTGGACCCAACTGCGAGTGCACGCACATGGTCGACATACCACTGGGCGCCATTGTGGAGGTGGTGCTGGTGGACGAGGTGCAGCAGGCGAACATAAGTCATCCGTTTCATCTGCATGGCACAGCATTCTATGTCGTTGGCCTGGGTCGATCGCCCGACAAATCGATCAAGAAAATCAACTTGAAGCACGCCTTGGAGCTGGACCGCATGGGCATGCTGGAGCGCGACTTCTCCAAGCCACCGCTCAAGGATACCATAGCTGTGCCCAACAACGGCTACGTGGTGATGCGGTTTCGAGCCGACAATCCTGGCTATTGGCTATTCCATTGTCATTTCCTATTTCACATTGTCATCGGCATGAATTTGGTCTTCCACATTGGCACACAAGCCGACCTGCCGCCAGTGCCGCCGCGATTTCCCCGCTGCGGTGATCACGTGCCGCCCGTTACCTGGTACTAACTAACCATACCAACAGCCAGCAGTTAGTGGTTTTCCAACCACAACGACTACGATTCAATTTATTTATTAACCAATCGCTTTAGCCTAACTTAACTCGTAGACTAAAAATGTTGTAAAAAACTGATGATTGATGTGGGGTGATATACCATACTAGATCTATGTTTGTGCTTATTATGTGTTTATATCTATATATATATATCTACATCTATGTATACTTATGTTAACGTGTGTGTCCACAACCAACTTATAGCCTTAGAGAGTACGTTTCGATGCGACAAACTGTTCATAGACCACAGCTCGCATCGTCTAGCTGGCTGGCTGGCAGCTGAGCGTCATAGTCAAATGCACTAATCCTTTTCGTTCTGTAGTCGCCTCGGATGCGGATCATTTAATATCGCTGATCGATGAGGTCTCGTACGTATCGCCGCCCTCTCCCATGCTCTCGCAGTACCAGGACATACCCGAGGACTACTACTGCAATGGAGACAATAGACCCGCCGATTGTGGCGAAAACTGTCAGTGCACTCACAAGATCGATATACCACTGAATGCTATTGTCGAGGTTGTGTTGGTGGATGAGGTGCAGCAGATCAACATAAGCCATCCGTTCCATCTGCATGGCACTTCGTTTTACGTACTTGGTCTGGGCCGTTCGCCGGATACGCATATCAAGAGAATGAATCTGAAGCATGCCCTAGACCTGGATCAGCGCGGTATGCTCGAGCGACAGTATATAAAGCCGGCTCTCAAGGATACGGTAGCTGTTCCCAATAACGGTTATGCGGTTCTGCGATTTCGAGCTGACAATCCCGGGTTCTGGCTGTTCCATTGTCATTTCCAATATCACATCGTAATCGGCATGAATTTGGTCTTTCAAATTGGCACTCCGAAGGACTTACCGCCAGTGCCTCCGAACTTTCCTCGTTGCGGTAACCATCAGCCACCCATAACTCCCAGCACTTCATGGTAGCCAGACTTTAAAAACTCTCATAAGTAGCAACTAAGTGCGTTAGACCTTTAAGTACTGTTATTTATCATTGTAGACATTAACGAAATTCTACCTTTGCGCTGAATTGCGCTGCTATTCGTTAACATTAAATAATAAAATTGTAATTAAATTTAAATTTAAATTTATTTACAAAGAATATGGCACCAAAATGCGTATGATTTCATTAGTCGATTCTCCACTGCCTTATTCCGAAATGCAGTAAAATATTAGGTGAAAGGAAGGCTTGGGCCCCAGAAACAAAATTACAACTGCTATATACTTTTAAACATTGCAGAGAAACTATCGATACAGTGGATTATCATCGAGTGCAGAAATCATCGATATGCATCAGACTTAAACTGGAAGGTTACCCAACTTTAAAAAACTCGATACAAGAATTCAATTTACTATTTTCCAAGCCGCTGGCGTATTATAATTTATCTGTCTATGTCACGCCAATCAAAGCGTTGTTTGTGTTTATAAAAGAATTACTAAAATACGAAATAAACGTTAAATAATACATTTGCTTTCGTTTTAACAGGGTGGCAGCACTATTAGAGTGTAACAGCGCTGCCACTATAAATAAACATACACAATAACAAATTAGCTTGCAAATAATAGCATTTTATAAAATAGTATCATTATGGGAAAGTCAGAAGGTATGTATGTATAATTAAAATATAAAGTAAATAAAACCGTTAACATTATTAACTATTTAAGACCGCCGACCAAAGCGCAGCAAGCGACAAAAGCCTGCAAGGTTTGTGTCACCTACGGAGTCCCCACCATCGCCGACTCAGGCAAATTCTGTTTCAGAGACAGTCGATGTGGCCACAACCCAGGCAGTCGTACCAACAACTGCCAAGCCTACAGTGTCAACTGCTCCAGTAATCAATAGTAATAGCAGTAGCAAGACCAATGAAGTGGCCAGTCAACGTACGCGACCAGCTGCCAGCACAAAATCTTTGCCAGGCACCGCAACACCTCCAACCAATTCCGCAAAGAAGCCGAGGAAACGTCGCAACAGCGATACATCAAGCGATGAAGAACGCTGGCTGAATGCCATCGAAACTGGTAAACTTGAAGATGTAGATGATGAGTTGAAAAAGATAAAGGATCCCAAGCTAATGACAGCACGTCAACGTGCCATGTATGAACGGACGCAGGACACTGAGCCAGCGCTAGCGGGCTTTGTTGAGGAACTTATTGCTCTGCCCAGCGGATATAGGGAGAAGGAAAAACCACAGACGGCAGAAGAGATACAAAAGGCTGCACTGAAGTCACAAAAACGTAAGCAACAAGCAGATGAGCGTCGTGAGAAGGACAAGCAAAAGACGATGGAGCGCTTGCTGAAGAAGCAAGAAAACGGCAAACAACGCTCGGCAGCTCGTAAACAGCAAAACCAAAAACAAACAACGCCATTGCTTACCTACATGAATACAGTAGATGGAGCCTACATCATAGTACCGCCAGGCCAAGAGTTTCCAATTCAACCCCAAACCGCAATCAAACCGCCGCCACCTCAGCTATGCGGCATCGCCGGCTGTAGCAAACGCAAGGTCTACAATTGCTCTAAGACAAATGTTCCCCTGTGTAGTTTAGCCTGTTACCAGAAAAATCTAGCTGTCGTTTGATTATAATGTTAAGAAATTATATTTTATTGATTCATTAAGAAATTGTTTATGATTTCCTGCTGTTCAGACTCGATGCGCTGCAAATATTGATATTCGCTCTTCAGACGCTCCAACTCAACAGTTTGTTCTAGAATCTGACTCTGGTACACTTGCTGCTCCGTCTGACGCTGCTTGGCCATTGTCTTTAGCTGATTTTGTGTGCCGATGGCACGCAATTTCTCGCTCTCCACATCTTTTGAAAAATTGTATGCTATTTTGTAGAAATCCTCGCCGAATTTTTTGAAAAGTTGCAAGTTCCTTGAATATTCCAAGCACTGCTGCCGCAACTCGATTGTCTCATTGGCAATTGTCGGATCTTGCACTCGAAGTCTGTAAATTTCGTCTATATAAAGTCCAGCCTTCTGCAGTTCCTCCATATTTTAAATTATTTTATTGACAATTTAGCTACTTTACTATGTTTTGTTATGCGAAACGATGTTGCTATGACTACGAATACAACCCTCTTCTAATACAGCCTAAGGCTATTTCAAATTCATGGTATAAGTAAGCAAACTAGTTTTCAATACAGATTAAATATATGTGTATATATATTTGATTCTACGATTACAAACGTCAACTATAGAAGCTAATACTTTGCGCTCTTGGTTTGGGTTTGGGTTAGGGTCGGGATTGGGCTTAACAGTTTCGACGAGAGAGATGAAAGGGTGGCAAATATACAAATATAATTGCGATTAATCTCACGTTGTTCACAGTTCTCTGTTTTTAGTGCATATAAGAAAATATGAATAACATTGGTTGCATTTGTTTGTTTCGGTAAGTTTATAGATATAAACGAAAATCGCAGCAGCGATGCCTGCGCTAAGAGCTCAGGAGGAGGCGAACCAACAATGGCTGCAAGCACCGCAATTTTGCCATCAAATCTGTGGAAACTCCAATTTATACCTAAGTCAAGTGGGATTGTTACGTTTGTTCGAGCGCAAACGTGCCAAGCCTGTGCGCTCTTCCTCCTCGTCGCTAGTATACTGATGCATGCTGGTGCCGCTGACACCACCTGCACGCACCGAAGATGTTGCTTGAAGCAACTCCTGATCCGGCGCATTGCGATTCTCATAGAGCAATACCTGCAGGGTCTCCTCGTAGATGCGCGCCTCCGGAAACTCCACTTTCGTGTGCTTGCGATCTGTTGTATAAACAATGGAGGTGCAGCAGACCTCCGCCACTTTTTTGCCATGACCATAAAAGGACCAGCAACAGATTTCACTTGGACCAATCACATCCTTAATAAAGAGTATTCGCTCGTTAAAACGCAAAGACAACTTGTCAAACAGTTCAATATTCTTGAGCAAATTATCATCCGAGGTGCTTGTGTACGAGTATTTGTTATTCTGCCGCTGTACCACCAAAATGACCGCCGGCTTCGACGATGAGCTGATCAATAGCTGTTCCTCCTTTTGCGACGTTATCAAGGGTATGCGACAGATGGGCTTCGGCTCCTGGTGCGTATACAGTGCTCTCTCGCACGACATCGCCAACTCTGTGATGCAGTAGTACTTGGCTTCGGCGAGTAACTCTGCAATCTCCTTGTTTGTCTCTGGCAGCGGTACACTGCCATCACGTAGAAAGTTTAATATTATACCAAAATGATTGCCACACCGATCAATTAAAATCCAACCTGAAATTGTACGCAGCCATTTAAGAAATATCTGTTGATGAATTTCAACGTGCACAAACCTTCAGAATCCGTTAGCACCTCCATGCGCCCACTAAACATGGCGCTTAGCATGGTATCATTATGTTTTGTTAGCGTACCTATTGTGGTATAATACAAACGTCCACCCACATTGAGCTTAACATACTGAGATGCGTGTCCCTTTAGCAAGACTTTCTGATCACCGGACATGGTTTCGGGCTCCTTGGCATGAAGTACAAGCTGGTTGCTGGTTGCCTGGCTCAACTGTACTTTGTCATCAAAAGCACGGCCCAGATCATCAATTTCAATACTGCTGCTCCCGCTGGTGCTGGTGCTGGTGCTACCGCTGTTGCTGTTGCTGTTGCTATTGTTGGATGCAGCAGCTACGGTCAGTGTACCGATGCTTCTGTTTACTGTGTCCACGCCCTTTTGTTTGGAGCCTCTGCAAACGCTTTCTTTTGCGTTGCTTACGCTCGCCGTGAGCGCCAATGGATCAATTTTGGCGAATATATAATTCTCTTAATGGGAATATGAAATGATTACTAACAGAACTCTTGACGCACTCAATCTTATAAAAACGAACACACTCATATGAATATATACATATATACCAAATATGAATATACTGAATATTCAACAATGTATTAAATTAGAACATAACGCGTTAACTTGCTCAAATACCATACCTATTTGCTTAACACAACTAATTAGTAAGCAGGACACTTTTAACGTATAGAAAGATAGATAATATGAATTATTAAAATTGTTGTCTCATTAATATTTTGGGATTACCTCAGTTCTATTTGTGGTAGTTGCTATCGGTTATAAATCTCACAATACGCACTACATGAACCTGTGGGGTGCAGCTTACATTTGGTATTTTCTTTGGCACTAAATTAACAGCACAGAGATACTCTTAACGAACAGCTGATTACCTCCCTGAAATGCCAAACAATTTTTAAGTAAATTTTACAGTCGAATTATTTAGTCACAAGACAGCATTGAAGTTACCATTTACTTTTGTTTTTAATATTATTTTGTAATCGTGCAAATAAAAAATACCAAGATTTAGATAGTTTCTACATAACAGTAAGATGAGACACTAAAAAAAATAAATAAAGCAAATATACTCCTAAATATAATTGAAGCTAAAGTCAAACTGGGAAGATAAAGATAATCGGAATGTCTTTTAGACGCTAAACTATGTTTTAAAAAGACTCCGTTTACGATTATAGGCAGGAATTATCGTTCTTACTGGCTTTTATTTTTTATTAACTCGTCACATTATACATTATATTTATATGAAAACATATGTTTCCTTCCTTTTTTTGGTTGCACGCATCGAAAAATAAGAACTAAAAAGGTTGTATTTGTACGTACGTATGCATATGAATATATAATGAGTGAGTTTAGTGATTTAGTTGTATTTGATAGTTAATGGTGAATTTCTGATTCTACGATATTAGAAAAGAACAAAATAAAAAGATTATATTTAGGAATAGTTAAAATATATCCGTACAAATGAATATTCTTTTGCATTAAATAATTTGGAAACTTTTCTCAGCTCTAAGAGCTCGCCTTTAAATAATGACCAAAACGCCGATGCACCAGCAGCCACCACTGTTGTGGCCCGAATTGTTGAATTTATGTAGATGATACGACGACGGCTTCCTTCTGCTGTTCAGCGGCTGATGCTGGGCAGCTACTAATGGCATCGGTGGATATCTTTGCAATCTCATCCGTTGACTCCAAGTCACCCTCAATCTTCAAACGTTTCGATTTGCTGGTGTTCTCGGACCGATTGGCGCCATCTACACCGGCATCTGGTGAAGCGCTACGTTTAAGGGCACTCTGTTCCGCAGTGCCATCGATGCCATGTTTCTTTTGCTGACCAGCTTCAAGGATGGCACTCTCTGTCTCAGCTGGATTGATTGTGGTCTTCAGTTCTTGTAGTTTCGGCTCGAATTTAACAATAACAGCGGTCATATTGTCGCAACCAGTGCCATCACCCATCGTATTTGGTGCCAAGCAGTTATCAAAAAGCTAGTTGATAGTTGTCGAAAAAGAGGAAATAAATAATAATTGAGCTTTGCGGCTTATAGGAGATTAATCTGTCTGGTACTCACTTCCTCACAAATTTGAGATAATTTCTTGCAGTCATCTTTCAGACGCAGGCGCACAAAATCGACCACTTCATCGCTGGACATATAATTCCAGATGCCATCGCAGGCCAGAACCATAAATTCATCTTCTGGAGTAATGATTAGTTTCTTGACATCCGGCAATGCCGAAATCATCTGTGCTTCAGCTGGCAGCTCCAAGTTCGTTTTGTAGGCATGATCACCCAGAGCTCGGGACAAATTGAGGCCTCCATTAACACGTCCATCCAGGGTGACACGACCACCGGCCCTGACAATGCGTGTGGACTCTTCGTCATCCTCGGGTTTATGATCCAGACTCATTTCAATAGCCTTGCCATTGCGAGAGATGACACAACGCGAATCGCCAGCATTTGCCACATACAGATCGCGGCCATGCAATAAGCAAACAACCGCCGTGCAACCGCTATCTTTACCTGGTTCCTCAATCATATTGGCGCAGAAATGATCGTTCGCTAGTTGATCTTCATCAGCGTCATCATCATCACTCACATTTTCATCCTGTAAATAGGAAAATAAATCATGTACAGTAAACAAAATAAAAATATTGAATATTGCTAATTCTTGTATCTTAAATATAAAATAATACATTTTATGATCTAGAGTTGAGAATATCCACACGTCTATATCTTACCTCGTCTTCGTCGTCGTCGTCGTCGTCATCATCATCATCATCATCGTCGTCATCATCATGGGCATCATTGCCATCTTCCATATCGTCATCAGAAGAACTTTCTGCTGCAGCAACTTCTTGAGCTTTAGTCAAAGCATTCTCGTCGTAGTCGGCATCGTCATCTGACTCTTCGTCTTGAGCAGAATTGGCTTTTTTCAAAACTTTTTCCGATTCCTTGCTGGTTGAAGAGATATCAGCGGGCTCTGGTTTGGCTGCTGCTGCTGCTGTTGTTGTTGCTGGTTTCTCGACACTGCCGTTAGACTTTGCATCTGCGATGTCGCTGGAAGCGGATACAATAGCGTCTTCCGTTGCACCAGCTGCTTTATTGTCATCTATAACCGCAGCTTTAGCCTCTGAAGAGGTGACACTGCCATTTTGCTCTATAGGTGCAACGACCGGGCTAGGGGTCGCCGGAGCCTTGTTAGCAATGGATTCGTCCTTAGGAGTAATAGTTGTGCTCGAGGAATTGGTGGTTTTGCTACCACTTGAACTACTGCTGCTCACCGTCGACTCATCTTCTGGTTCAAGCTTTCTTGAGCTACTTGGGCCAGCTCCGTCGATTTCACTAAACGCAGCTACAGCTGCTGCTGAAGTTGAGGAGCCTGGGGGCTTCGCTGTTGGGTCCATAACGGCCTTATTTACCGCTTCGGCAGCAACAGCTGCAGCACGACGACCACGCAGACTCGTTGACAATAATTTGCCAGCCGCATTATCCTCCTTAAGCAATGAAAGGTCATGTGTTTGCGGTAGGCCTTTGTATTTCTCAAGAACCTCAGTTAATGGCAAATTGCTCTCCTCATGCAGCTCAGCCAAATCTTCTTCGTCGTCCTCCTCATCATAGCCCTCACCATCCTCATCCACGATATTGTGCTCGCCTGCTAAGATTTTCAATGTATTGACCACTGTTGGTTCGAGCAATGTTTTATCAAAGCCCAGAAATGCATCCTTGAGCGCTTGCTCCAACTTGCCGCTCTTATAGCTAGCTAGGCTCATAAGGAACTCTGGAAGCTTATCGGCACAATATTGCGCTACTTCCGCACCACCATGACCATCGTAGACAGCAAAAAAGGATGTGTTCGTATCAAAATTCAATATTGAGTTATGGGCATCCTAGGAATGGAAATAGAAATTGAAATATACACAGCAGACATAGAAGTGATTCACTGATTCACTAACCTCCTGACTGTTGCGCCAGCCTTGCATCGAGCTGGCGCCCACGACGAGCATTTCATTGAATTCGTCTGTGGACGCTTTTTCCGTCTTTGGATGCGACAGGTAAGCACCCATTTTTCACTTCACACAAAAAGTCCAGCGCTTAAGGAATAACCAAACGAGCTGTCGCGTTAGCCTGCCTCGAGTGCCTGCCCACAGTTGCAGAATTGCGGAAAAATCGATGCTTGGCCAACGCACGCGCGCAGTGTGTACTTTTTTCGCGCCACCGGCAAAAATAAAGCCGGAGTCAAAGGTTGCTATGATTTGTTTATTCTGTGAGAATCACATCAAATTGGTAAAAGATAGTTAGATATTGTATATATTTATTTTTCTTGCTTGCACAACTGAGTTTGTTCGCGATTGTTTAATGAAATTTTAAGATCTGCACGTTCTCTTTGGCGTCTCTGTAAATTTTGTCGTGTGTATCCAATGCCGCATTGTTCGTTTATTAATTTGCCAAAATGTCAAAGAAACTCATTTGTTGTTTTTATGTATAGTTACAAAATGGCGTACTTTACCCAACTCACTATTGTGTGCAATTAATAGTTTAAAAAATTATTCCTTTTGCAATATTTTCGTATATCCGCAAAAAAAAAATCTACACTGTCGACCGTGTGATGAAAAGATGCCATCAAGTTAAAGATGGGATATTTATATATGTGTGGATTATTTAGCTGCAACCTATACTGAAAATCTGGCAACGCTAAATTGTCAAACTGCGGTATTTCCATCGTTTAAGTTGTGTCTGCATCCGGCACAGCCCAATACTTACTTGTAGTATTAAAAAATAAATATGTTTCTCTTTGATTGATAATTTTGAAGTAAGTGGGACATAAATCAATCTCAGGCTTGAGGTGGTTCCGAGATCATTACCACCGCTTTATATAAAATATCGATTGTATACTGACTTAAGATTTTGAATTGTATTAAGAAATAGATTAATATATTATTCTCTCATGTTAAAAAAAATGAAATGTGTATAAAATTATGTTGTATAATTCTTATTTGAAATCTTATTTATCAAAAGATGTATAGAATATACAGTTGTTCAACATTTTTGTGTTTGACAACAATATAAATGACTCAAATCTAAAAAAAACAATAGATCAAACTGATAACCAAAAAACACAAAAATACCAAAAATAAAAAATCAGGAAGTCAGTTACATGTAGTGAAATTTAAAAATCGATAGATTAGTACTTTTATTTCGATAAGTCTATTGCGTTTTGATGTGACAGTGTGAATTAATCATTTTTTAAATTTACAGGAACATATATGAAATGAATGTATAAAGATAAGCTAATTTTAAATAATATAATGGCAGGTCAATGTGAAAGCTTGATTGTTGATCAAACTTAACTGTCATATAAAAATTGCAGTGTATTACAGTTATGCTGTACAATGCTCAGTTTGTACAACACAATATAACACTTATAGCAGTTATTTAACATATATTTAATACAGTTAGGACGAATTTGGTTAGTAATAAAATATTATTGTTAGATTACGTTATATCATTAAAAACGTAATTGTAATCTACTTTTAGGTAGGTAAAATAGGTTCCGATTCACTTATCATCGTTCCTAGAAACGTAGATAGGCCCGACAGAGTAGAAGGGAATGGGAATCTGATGGTGTAAGCAATCTGGTAATCTGAATTGTGGAACTATTACGCACAAAATTAGTAGTTAAATACTTTCACTCTTTGAAATTTTTCTTAACCTCTGTTAACTATTTATAAATGTATAAGCTTACGATATTGAAAGCTGATGTTAAGAATTTTCTCCTATATTTTATTAAAATTGATTACGTATCTAATCTGATTCATCCTTGGCGTTTTTCATTCTTTTAGCAGGAGCAATAACGACCACAGATTACAACTACTACTATGTTTATAATAATAAAAAAATAACAAAACTGAAAATTTTTACTTATTAGCTAATTTTTAACAAATAATAAAGGAAAATGTTTATTCATAAAAACATGACGATATTCTCTCTTCATTAAGGTGCGCATATACAACAAGAACAACAGTACGCACATAAATCAACTTTCATTTATTTAAACATTTTAAATTTTGTAAAAAAAGATGTTTTCTAAATGTTTTTAATATACAGAACGAATTATTACGGCCCCAGAAAGTATGCTATATTTTCACTTTAAATGCAGGCTTCAATGCATGCACGCAATTGTGTGTCATAATAAACAATGTTTGTACCACACATCAGCTATTATAAAGTCTTAGTATATTGGCTTTCTATTTCACATATGTTATTCATTAGCATATGCATTTTCTATAGAGTGGGAGGGGTGCAGAAGATGCAAAATCCCATCTGTGTGTTAGTTGCATTCAATATCCCTTTGGCTTGTCATAAAAATAAATTGTTTAATCGAAATTCAAGCAAGTGTTCGATAAAGATTGATTCTCCAATTGCTATTAGTAGTATAAAGTATGTATTGGACAGTTTTCACTTTATATAAGTTAATGTTAAATTCGTATAATTTAAATTTAAATTTATATTGAAATTTTAATATGGATATAGCGAAAAATTGTGCTGTAATAACTCGAAATAACTCGACTAATTAAAAAATGCCACAAAATGAGCTAATGAAAATTCGCTGTGGATACACGCACACACATAAACAAGCTCACACACATACAAGCTCACACATATACACGTACACATGTGTGCGAGTTAGACGTCAACTTTTGAAAGGTTCTCCTTTGCTGGTTGCCGTCTAAATAGAAGGGAAATATGAATAGCCAAGCGTGGCTTTTTATAACTTTTTAATTGTTTCGATAATTTTGTTTGCTGATGAATTGGCACTGTCTGTCCGCTGCAAGTACCTCAAGTGACCCCGAGCCGATGTTTGAGAAGGAAATGTTTGCTTTACGCTAAATTAATTTTCCATATGTCTATGATTAGTCACAGCAAGCGATTTCGAATTCGACTTGTGTGGAATATACATTAACGAGTCGACAATGGATTTTTGTTGTTTTTATCTAATTGGCACTTGATAGTGTCAGAGCCAAACTATGAATGTGACATTGTTACCTAATTTTTGGAACTTTCAGAGAGTAAACAGATTTAATAGTTGATTAGATAATTGCCAAATTAATGGATTCGAAAAAGTACGTAACAATTTCCCAATTCCGAGGAATTCAGAATGAATAGGGACTTAAAAGGGACTTTTATTCGACTCATCTGGCAACTCTGGCGATCTGCAGCTTAGCGACGCTTTATAGCAATGCATTAAACATGAGCTGCTGTCGACTAAGTCCACGAGCCTTTGAGAGATTTCGCAAGCAACATGTTGCTGTGTGTATTATGTAAGCTAATGGCCCAAGGCCCAAGGCAAAATATGCGACCGCAACAAAAGCACAGCAAAAGTTACTTGCCCGTCGAGCACTATCGGCGAGCAAGGGTGTTGCGCAGCTCATACACACACTTACACAGACACAACCGCACACACGTGCAAACACGCACGCTGGCAGACACTTTGTTGTTTGCTGTTTACCGTTATCTGCATACCAATACCAAAAGCGAACTACCCACTGTATTGCTGGCACGCTTCGCTGCGACGTCACCCGTTCCGTTAGGTATAAAAGCCAAGGCGACCAAAGGACCTGCGCTCATTCACTTCGGTTGAGTTGTGTTGAAACGTTCGTGTCACTTGCTAAGCAAAGCTCGGCAACTCAGCTACCTGTGGCAGCGGCAGCAGGAAGCGTAAGCGCAGTGCGGTGCAGTTTGAAATTACAATTTTTAGCCAAAGTGAGTTCCATTTCAAATTCAATCTCGGTTCTCCGTCAAGCCATAACACACTAGTGAGTCTATGTAAGCACTTTGAATTCTTTACAGATCTTTACTTGGAGTGAGTGGATATGATTAGATCGCTTCAAATAGATGAGATACAACACGTCATATATAAAAATATTTTCGTAAAACCAAGCTAAAAGAACTTAGATTGAAACAGGTTTAGTTATACAGTTTAAGCAACAGCATTTAAAAAAAAAACAGTTTAAGAGTTCTAGAAACTGAGATCAAATTCATACGGCAAGCAGCAATCTTCTAGTGCACATCCGAAAACTGAAAAAACTATCTGAATTAAGTTAAATTCAAAACAAACTCTTGACTTATATATAAAGTATAAATGGCTTTGGTGGAAATTTAGTGGATGCTGCATAAAGTTAATTTCCTGAGAACTACTATGTTTTTAATGACAATAATTAAAATAGATATGCTATATCCATATCTTTTTTCTTTTATATGAATATTTCAAAGAGTTTTAGCTTGAATATTTCAAAATAACTATTTGTACAGCTCTTGCTATAGCAGTGTTTTTAGTTGTGAAACTATATATAAAACTTGTATGTAGAACCTATTTAAAACTCGCTCCTGCAAAGCTGCCTATAAATTACACATACATTACTGGCTTGTCAGATACAATATCTTTAATGTCTTATCACTTCTTACTTGCTTTAGATCGAATTCTTCGATTTTCGCTATTTTATAGTACATATAAATATTATGTAAACTATCTGTCTAAGACAGTTTAAGTTTTGGAAGAATAGCTTTGTTCTTTAAACAATATATTCTTCTACTTGCATTCTTCTACTTTTAATAAAAATATAAAAAATACAATATAATATAATAAAATATTAAATATAATTTTTTTTAATTTACTAATTATTAATTTGAAGATATTTGTAGTGAGTAAGGTTTATATAGAAGCAAAATCATAATATATACTAGCATAATACACAGTTGTTCACATACTTAAATACATATAATTTATGTATTACACAACTTCTATATATTTTAAATATATATCCTCAATAGTTGACTCTTAGCTAATTGAGTTACAATACAAACTTAAGATCCAAGCTAAGTAAAAACTGCTTAGCTGCTATGAATCTATGAACTATAATTATAGATTGCAAAAATTTGAAATTATCAATCCGTGTTATATAATTCATTTAGTAATAGATGCACTGCAAATTTCAATTAAAAATTACTCTTTTTTCTATGTTTCTCACCTGATTGGAACTTATTCATAGGGAAATTGTAATATTCTAACAACTCAAGTCGAATTAGCTTAAATATACTATCTGGTCTTTGCTTTATTTGATATCTATATTTGATAATATATAGTATTGATAATTTAGTGAAATGAATACGAAATAATTATTATTATGCTTGCTTAATAAAGATATTATTCAATGCTAATTGCAAAGTTTTATTATTAATAATTTGCAAAATCTGCATTTTTCGCATGTATTGAGAGCATAGCAAGGCGTATAAACATATATATGTACATACACACATATATATATATATAAATTAAGTTGAAGTAATGAAATTACTTATGGTATTGAATATTCTAGCCGGGCTCTTCAGAAAAGTTTACCCTGCGACGGCGGCCCAGGTAACAATGAGCTGTGCCCTAAAGGCCTAATGAATAAATATTAAGTATCTAAAGTGGCTAAAATGTTTGCTGCCTAAATGAGTCAAAGAGTCGAAGAGTCGATGAGTCAGTTTCATACATAATAAATACTAAATATGCACAAACGTTTTTGACTGCAGTTTGTTTGCGTTTCACTGAGGCTAAGCAGAAAAGTTTGCCGTTGCCCATGGCTTGGGGTCGCAGCCTCTTTCAATCTGTCAATCAATATTCATAAATTGGTAGCCAGTAGCTGGCGGGCAGGTTGTCCGTAGCCAGGTTTCACTGCACAGTGCCAACTTTTGCGCAACTCGTGCACTGCTCGCACAGCTCCAGGCAGCGCGCGACCCGCCGATAATAGTCTCCTTTCTTGCAATTTTCCTGAACAGAATGAAGCAAGCGATGGCTGAGCAGGAGCAGACCATCGCCAGGTGTTAGCTTACCAAATGCAAATTTTTGCATAACACTTTTCATACCCTTTAGGGCAGAGTCAAATGACAATCGTCCTTTTGCTGCACTTACTCTTCACAATTTATATTTCACTATAGATTTTCTTTATGCATTTTTATTTTATATAAAAATTATAATTAGGTACATTTCAGCTGTGGTCAGGTAACAGCAATATATATGAATTATGCGAGACTGTTTATTATCCGGAACTGTTTAAGCTTTAACTATGTTACTTAAGTACCAAATTATATTTTCTTAAATATATTTCTGATTATTTATTTAATGCCTAAATTTATATTAGAAATATGAGTGATGACCAAGCAAGTGTGATACTATTTTGAATAGTTACATCTGAGCAGTTGTTGATATTATCTATAGCAGTCAGACCTTAAAATATTTAGAAGCATTTGCCATTTGGTTATAAATTATTTATATGTGCCAAATATGTAGAAGTAATAAAAAACTTACCAAATTTCCATTGTTCCTTTTTGTCTTGGCTTCAGTGTTCCAATTTTTTGTTCTGCCTTAAGCGTAAATTGAACTAGTTCATAAGCACAGTTGTTCTCTGCTTTTATAGAATTTTACTTATACTCTTATTATATTTACTTTTCACGCTAGTAACTTCCTTCAAAACCTATCTGTAATTCTACTCATGTATAAAATGTAAATTGCGTGAAGAGGCTAGGTCTAAGTTATCCAATGATCTGTGAAGTTCTAAGTTTATGCATATGCCAGCTGAACTATACATTTATATAAATACCAAGTTTTGTGGTAGATACAGCAACGAAGCAGAAGAAGGACTTAAAGTTTAGGAGACATGAGTCCGAGAAAATATATAATATATACATAAATAAATTAAAGAAGTCTTAATCAATATATGCTACAATAGCCGACCCTATTTCCTCTTTGACAATGTCTGCATAAAGGTAAAGGGTATGCCTTCGCCCACACACAACGAACTCGGCCTTTGATTAAATCCTGTTACGATATCCTGTGCATATTTATTATTTATGGTTTCATATTTGTGCATAAATCGTGTGAGATAGGCGCAGAATGAAAATTCGTTAGTTCGAAATTGAAATGCAATTGCTTATCGGATGAATGCAGCTGGAGTGATGCAGCACACACACTCATATATAAATTGTTTGTTATTTTCCCTTTAACAATGAAATAATAATAGTAACTGACTGCCATTATGATAGTGCGTCGCGCAGCCTTTGCCAAAGGGAAATCCATTTAAAAAATGTCGCGCCAAGCCAAAATCCCATCAAGCTAAACACACAGAGAGCGAGTGAGAGCGAGAGAGGGAGGGAGGAAGAGAGACAGCAAATGCCTCTTCTATTTACTTAAGGACATATTTATTTTTATGCAAAAGTTACTTGGGAAAGGGTTTCATATTTGTTTTACTAGAATTTCCAATCGCTATCTACTTGGCTGCCCTTACTTGAACCTCCGGCCCCACCTGCGCCTGTTGATATGTGTATATGTTTACATATTCACATTAGAAATTGCATCAGCTATCTGCTGTCCACAAACATGCCTGGTTAAATACATTTAATGATGCCGCGCCCTAAGCCGTGTGGCCGCCCACATTACAGCCCAGTTGAAAGGAGCTGTCAAAAAATTTGTTAACTTAAATGTGTTGCACGTCAACGTCAGCGGCGGCCACTGTAGAGGCTGTGTGTGTGCTTGAAATCTTAATTGAACTTTCAGTTACCGAATAGAAATGCAAACGGAATGGTAGAGATTAAATGCTCTTACACTCAAGTATATATATATATATATATATATATATATATATATATATATATATATCTGTACCCTATCGTAGCTCATACTAAGACTTACAAGTGATTTGGCTGCTTTACAAAATATTGTAATTGTTCTCAAAGATTAAATGCCCAGACTTTTATATCAATTATATAAATATCTCTTTCTAGCTTGATAGATTGGAAACTCTATACCAATACAACTAGCCTTAGATGTATGATATGTCTGTGAGAATTTAGCTTCATATTTTATATATATATTTGTCTTCTTGATATTAAAGTTCTAGCTTTATAAATACAGACACCTTGAACTTACTCTTAATCATATATAAGCGTTCTATCTATATCAAATGTTCTCAAAAATTAAATAGCCTTACCCTTATATATATGATATATCATAATATATCTTAACTTACTCCAAGTCACTCAAGCCAAATATATATTTCATAAGGCTCTCTCTTATATCTACCGCTCACAATATATCTACCTATATCTCATGATATCGTAGACTCAGATACAAGTATCATGCCCTTTGCTAGAGCATGCGAAAAAAATGAGGAATATGAGTGGGAGGGGGTGAAGTGCGTAGTGGGGGGCGTAGCATTCGCCATTATTAACTGTAATCGAGCTTAATTTTGTGTGGGTGGCTGGCCAGCGCCTGACTGCTTGTTTGGCGGTTATTTTAAAATTCTATCAAAATAATGTTCATCTTTTGTCTAAGTCTTTTAAAGAAAAACCCGCCAAGTTCAGTCAACGACGCTTAATTAACTTAATGCCACAATTGCTGCCAAAAGAACAACCAATTTTCAGTCAGCGAAGGTTTCGCTCGCTCTCCCTTGGCCATCTGCTTTCTTGCTGACGCACAAATCAGGCAAAAAAGACGAACAAAAAAAAATAAAATAAAAAAATTCAAATCAAATTTCGTACGTGTCCGTTTTTTGGGTTTCTTCGTCTTCGCCTTGATTTTTCCTTGTTAAGCGATTGGCCAGGCTATCAAATCAAATGCTACCTTTGGCCACCTTTCGCCATGGCCCACGCCCACGCCCACGATGTGTCTGTAATAACAGTATTTACGATACACGAAACCATAAATGCTGATTTAAAAAACATTC